TCTGTGAGTGTCTATGTGTGTGTGTATACCTATATATCTATATCTTGTATATATATCTTTGTGTATATATATATTTGTATATCTTTGTGTGTGTGTATATGTATGTGTGTATATATATGCATATATGTACACACACACATACATGTTGAGAGGAAAACTCTCGACCAGGTGGATTGACACAGTCACTTGCACAATGGACTGTAATGTGTTAGGAAGTGTGAGGATGGCACAGGACGGGATAGGGTTCAGATCTGTTGTTCATAGGATCGCTATGGGTTCTGTCTGACTTGACAGCACCTAATAACAACATATACACACACACATATATATTTGTTATGTGGTGTTGAACTGGAAATATATATATTTTATATAGTTGTTATGTACTGTTGAGTTGGAACTGACTCAAAGCTGACCCTTTAGTGAGTTTTCAGAGTCCGTAAATTGCATGGGAGGAGATTGGTCGTCTCTTGTGGTTTAGAACCTCTTGCCTGTAGGCTGGCAGCATAACTCCTTACCGCTATACCACGAGAGGTTCCCTATATGTGTGTGTGTGTGTGTGTGTGTGTGTGTGTGTGAGAAACTCAAATATTTCATTTGAATGTGAGTAAGCAGAGAGAGTAGCCAGATTATCAATGTTTAAGGTTCTCACCTGTCTTAATCTGGCCCTGGTGGGAAGCTGGTTCAGAGCCTACTGAGCACCCATGCAGGGGGCACTACCTTGGCTGTCTGTTTGGGCAAGTGGGGTGTAGGGAGGAGGAATAGTGTGACAGGTGGGGTATAGGGAGGAGGAATGGTGTGACTGGTGGGGTGTAGGGAGGAGGAATGGTTGTTGCAGGTGGGGTGTAGGGAGGAGGAATGGTGTGACTGGTGGGGTGTAGGGAGGAGGAATGGTTGTTGCAGGTGGGGTGTAGGGAGGAGGAATGGTGTGACAGGTGGGGTGTAGGGAGGAGGAATGGTGTGACAGGTGGGGTGTAGGGAGGAGGAATGGTGTGACAGGTGGGGTGTAGGGAGGAAGAATGGTTGTTGCAGGTGGGGTGCAGAGAGGAGGAATGGTGTGACTGGTGGGGTGTAGGGAGGAGGA